ACAAGAAGGATCCCAGAGAGGGCAAGCTTGGCCCAAACTGGAAAGGACCCTACATAATTACTTCGGTATTAGGCAATGGAGCTTATCGGCTTGAAGATAACGAGGGCAAAGCACTGTCAAGACCTTGGAACACTTGTAATTTGAAATTCTTCTATCATTGGATGTGCACTATTTTTGGCCGATGTCATCAATAAAATCTTTTCCCTTTTCTTTAAAACACATATGATTAATAAAGTTACATATTGGTGTTTTTGGAGACATGAATAATAAGAACCCAAGTAGAACTCAGGTTCACATTGAGGGCAGAGAGAAGACACAGACACTTAATTCACTTGTTGAAATTTGTAGCAATTTACAAGTTGGAGTTAAGCTAATTCCTTATCTTCACTTGTTGAAATTTGTAACAATTTACAAGTTGAAGTTAAGCTAAGATGGTTCCTTATCTTCACTTGTTGAAATTTGTAGCAATTTACAAGTTGAAGTTAAGCCGATATTACTGTTTCTCTTCATTTGTTGAAATTTGTAGCAATTTACAAGTCGAAGTGAAGCCGAGGTCATAGTTTGCACACTTATAGCAATCTACAGGTTGGCCCAACCAAAGAAGATGCTTAACACTTGTTGAAATTTGTAGCAATTTACAAGATAATGTTAAGCCGACATGTGATCATCTTTTGAAATTTGCAACAATTTGCAGGTTGAAGTAAAAGCTAAGTATATTGTTTAAACACTTGTTGAAATTTGTAGCAGTTTACAAATAGATCATTGCTTAAAACACTTGATTGAAACATTGAGAAACGTTCGCAAAATTGACATTGAATAGTATATGTCTTACACTTGTTGAAATTTATGAAAAGTTTGCAGGTCAGTATCTTGTCGAAGTAAAGCTTGTAGTTATTATACCCGAGATATATAACCCCGAGAAGATTGTACAAAGGTGGCAAAATATGAAAGGCATACAAAATATTCTAAGTATAGAACCATGCAGAAGCAAATCAAGAGAAATTAAAAGATTAAAGCATCCATAAAAAAACAGTTGCAGTTGTGTACAAAAGAAGGCACTACGGCCTACCAGAAGTAAATTGTTTCGAAATAACAAAGAAAGGCACATCGGCCATGAAAGGAAGCTTACATTGTCCAGAAAACAAAACAAAGTACAAGGGTGCAAAAGAAAAGACATGAAAGTTAAGACTTTTCAGCATCAGCAACTGGCTGGATCTGAACCTCAGAAATCTCCTGAAGAGATACCTCGGCTTCCTCATCTGCAGCAATTTCGGCGTCGATCTCGGCAAGGGTTTCATCAACGCTCTTGCTGATTTGAGGAATGTCGGATGAACCCTGCTCCGGGGTAGCCTCCTTGATAACATCATCCCCATCATTATCTTGAGTCAGGTCCAGGACCTGCTCATTCAGAGAAGGAGACTTAGCCCCAACAACCTCCTTGGATTTTCTTATTAAACCCTCCTCCTCACCCCCCTCCACATCTTCAAACTCAGATTCGGATTCTTCTTCAGAATGACTTGGAGGAGGAGGGGGAGGGAATGGCAGAGGGATATCATCAGCCTTGCGCAATGGCGAGTCATCTGGGATGTTGAGCTTTTTGGCAAGGGCCATCCAACCAAGGGAGAAGCCCCTGTTGCATGCCTGCCTAACTTGCAGTTTGTACTCCTCAGTGACGTCGGCCATACCCTGAGCATAAGCCTTCTCATCAGCCTCTTTGACTTCGGCCTCCTTGGTGGCCAAAGCCTGCTGGAGCTCCTACTCAGCCTGGGCCTTTTTCGCTTCGGCCTCCTTCTTCTCAGCTTCAGCTACTTTTCGGATAGCCTCAGCAGACTCCACTTTCTCTTCAGCCATCTGCTGGGCCTCAGTCGCAGCCTCGGCCTGGTCCTCCAGTTTTTTCATCTTTGATTCAAGAGATTTGATCTCCTTCTTCATGGAAGATGCTTCCCTCTTCATATCAACCAATCTTTGCCGATTTTCAAAAGATTGCATTGAAAATGAATGGGCATGCTGAAT